GGTCCTTGACAGTAAGAGGGTAGCCTCCCCTGGACTGTAGACTGAAACACTGCCTCAGGAAAAAAAAAAAACTGAAGGAATAGTTTATCTGTTCCGGATTCAGGGAACGGAGTCAATTAGGTAGAAAATGTGGCTGGATTTTTAAACCTACTCTGGTTTCCAATCTTCAAAATACCTGAACACTGAGAGATAAAGGATAAAGATCAAAGAGATATTCACGGTAAGTTTTCCGCTTCAAACGTGATTAACTTCACGTCTTCATAACCGGACCAGCAGAGCCACTGCTTCACGGTTAAAAAACCTCGTTTATAACAACCATGAACTATTTCTGGAAGTATTAAATAAGTAATGGGCGAATTCATCTTCTAAAACTGAAGCCGACAAAGGTTGTTTTTTAAAGGGACGGTTAGTAAGTCATAACTTTCAGTTTCATAACCTTCCTCTTCCTCTCATCAAATATATACCCCTCTAACTAATGATATGAACTAACTAAGTGAATTAAATAACACTTTGTTAACATTGTTGTAAGCCTGAAAGAGGTCTCTACCAAAGTAAACTTCATTTTGGGATCATTTTTTCAGTCGTCATTTTTACATTAAAATTAAGGATATTCAGTGAAGACCTAGAATTTCTTAACTAAATATTTGAAGTTGTATTCATGTAATAGATGAACTGGTGTAGGAGTATATAGTAACTTATAAACGCCCATTACACTGCACAAGTCACTGTGCAGTTATACACACTGCAAGATGCAAGAACTGTGAATATCTGGTGCATAAATAAATACACATATTATAAAATATATTTAGGCTTTACAGCCTTGCATGGAACATTAAGGTTAAAGGAACTACTGTTTCATTTTGGGTGTGATTAAATAAAATCTGCTTGTTTTGAACAAATAATGAAAAACTCTGTCAGATTAAATAACAATTTGGTTGAAAATTAGTATCAGTATTTCCACAAGGAATGGGCGCAGTGGTTAGGATGGAGGAATTGGTTCAAGGTCACATTTGGTTATTGTGGATTGTGTCTTTTATCCCTTTGTCCCTTCAGGGGGGAACAGCAGGTTTAACTCATATATGAAACTCAAATAAGAATATATATTAAAACCTTTGTGACAGACATGTGATTATAATACTTAAAATAGAAAATAACACCATCAGCTCTGCAGCCTTCATATAAATATACATCTTAAACTCAAACACAGTACGCACACACTTGAATATTTCCTTACCGACGATATCAACCTCAACACCATCATATCAGGAAGGACTTGAATCCTTCTGAACAATTGCAGAAACAAACGAACGTTAAGATCAATGTGCACAGTTTCAAAAACCTGGACGTAGAAGATGAGCATCCGAATGTGATTTCTAAACTCTATTACATTATTATAATTGCTTCATATACTATTTTTGAGACACTTCATTCACTCAAACTGTAAGAACCACACAAAAGATTTTATTAGAAATTTCAAAATAGAAAACATCTTTGAAAGACCCCCAAAAATAAATGTATATTTTTCTTGGACAGAATAAAAGTCATAAAACAATCACAAACATATTTTAGCATTTTTGGCATGAATTAAAGTTTTAACCTACTTTACATGCAAACATGATGGATGATCATTTGGATACTTCTGTTTTAGTTTACATAAGACAATAAGGTTAAAAACAGGCTCTCATTCCATTTGTTATTTGTTGGATAAAAACATTACATGTTTGGTGAGATCATTCACTTCTTACAGGATTGTCTGATAAATCTGGTTTTAAAAAAATTAAACAATTACATGAGCCTCACAGATCAGGGCAGCGAAGGCACCACACACCATACTCATTTAAACAAATTTAAGAGTTGACGAATCTCTGATAAACGAAATCCAATAATCAAAAAAAAAAATTAGAAAAAAACCCCCCAAAGTATTAGCTGTATTAAAACATGTTGTGTTCAGGTAGACTGTATGTTTGGTCTCGATATGGATTTCATAACATTTACTTCTTCTTGAGGTCATCAATGAGATATGGCTCATTTTCCTCAAGGACTTTGTAGAGGACATCTTTGCAGGCTGTGCTGGCTTTCAGGGGACCAGAGAAGAGCTCCCTCATCTTATCCTGAGTGGTACGCACAGCCCTGATTGTATCATAAATCTCCGCCGAGATGACTTTCCTGTAGAGGAGCTCGTCCAGAATTGGTGAAATGTTGCTCACTCTCTTGATCAGCTCGACTTGATGTTTATCCACAAAGTGCCCGCCTGAGGGAGGAGGGGAAAATTACTCTACAATGACTGATTGATGATTTGACTGAACTTGATACAAAATATTTTTTGAAAAGGCTACCTTTTATATTCAAAGTGTAAATGACTAAAACTAATCAATTATGAAAAACAGTACATGCATTTAGATGCTGCAACAGTGATTTCTATTGTACAACTACCATAAAACTTCTAATAATAGCCCAGGCGTGAACTCCCCCTGCCTTTATTGGGGGACAGGCATTTAAATCATTTAGCACAAAGCTCAGCACAGATGGAAATACTCTCTAATTGTACTGCTTTTGTTCAGCAAATTTGACAACTAGCAGCTTCCAGGTCGTACTTTTTTCACCATGACACTTGAACGTGGACGCCGTTTTATAGCAGCTGTAGATTTACGACAGCCAGCGTACAGACAGTGACCATCGGACTGCACACAACTTGGACTAAATTTATTTTTTAATTTTTTTCAGTCTCTCTTGTTGTACAAGACATCATACTACCATTGCACCTACCATCTGCCATATTGCTGACACCAGCTCCTCCAGCCGAGGGTCCTGCAGCTGAAACACATTTACGGAAAATTAAAATTGCTTTACAATGAATTGGTCTTAGTGTTTATGCATATTACTGTTTCTCCCATTAACACAGCGAACAAAATGCTTTCTTTCATTATGAAAATCTATGACTAATATAGGTACAGACTTATTATTAGTTATTAGTTATATTTTATTTCTTTGTTATTGTCAACAAAACAAAAATATCAAAACCAACAATGTGTCAGTCTGTCTCTCAATACTTTACAAGTTCTCCAGCTTGTCTGTGGCATTCAGCCTCAAGTCCATTTGTTCCTACTGGAGTCTAAATCAAATGTATAGTTTCATTTTTAAAAGAAACTAGCAAGCAACTAGCACATTTGGTGCACCAGTGAGCACTTAAAGGTAGCACAATGGTGTTTGTTGTACAGGTTTGGTGTAACAGGTCAAATCATGTTTAATAATTTCTATACAACAATGGAGCTCAATGGCACCAAGGACTAACTAATACTAGGCTGTAACCACACAGGAAAAACTTGTTAGAAGAATAGATTAACTGTTGGTTTTCTTTTGATGGGATTTCCTAAAAATAAGAAAAATATAAACACATCACCAGACTCTCAGATTCTGCCCTTGGTGGATTACTCTTGTAAAATATTTTTAAAGAATGAGTCAATTTACAAAACTCAGATTTGACATTGTGCTGTAACGCTACAAAAATACTGTATGACACCTTCAAGAGTACAGGAGGACAATGTGAAATTCTAAAATCAATGCAACTTATTACTTATTTAACAGCTAATCTGTGATGTCTTGTGTTTAAAAAAAAAAGAAGAAGGCTAAAACAACTTACGGTCACTGGGACCAGGTTTGGGCAAATATTCAGCTGTCTCTTCACCTGCAAACACAGGAAGACGCAGTGTTAGAGTGGAGCCTAGTTAGTGTGATGTTGTGAAGACTGAGGCACACCATGACACTAAGAGTTAAAGTCGGTGCACACAAGTCCCACCTGGCAGACATACTGTGACTGGCTCTTCATACAGGCCATTAAAAGAGCTCCTCCTGTATGCGATGGGAGTTTATTTAACATGTTATATGATATATGATATGATCTTTTTTTTATTCTATTTATTTATTTTTTAAGAAAGCCTTCTGAGTACCTCTGCATAGTCATATCGGTGTAAAACCAGTGCACAATTCACATGGGGGGAATCACTATATACATATCCTACATAGCCTAACTATCTGTAATTGATGAATTTTCCCTCCTCTAAAATCGGTATCTGTCTCAAAAACACCATATCGGTCGTGATATGATGCACAAATGCACGGGATTTGTATTCATAAACTACATAAGAAGGATGATTTTGCTTTTATTCTTACAGAAATAGTGTCTCTGTGAGTAGGCCTACAGAATAATAAATAAAAAAAATAGGAATAGGCATATAGGAACAATATGTACAACTAAGGGGCCGTAGTCCAACGAGTGCTCGAAAGTGAAAGTAAAAGGGTGGGTTGTACAAATGTTTTCACTTTGATTTTGAACTTCATTAACATCTTAATGTACTGAAAAATAAATACTAATAAAAACAAAACTCGAGTATCATAGTCTTGTATTGCGAGTTTATCTGCGAGCATACTTTAAATGTGTAAACCGTGCATAAAGTGCCCATTAAACCCTGGTGCTGTAAGACATATTTACCGAGTCTTCTTGCGTCTTCATGACAGTCGATCTGTTTCAATAACTCCAACACCACTGCAACAGCACCGGTCTCGGTAAAGGTAGAAACCAGGACGTCTGTGACATCCAAGTAGTTTTTACCCTCCACCTTTCCACGCCGGACCCTCGGCTCTTCCCTTCGGTCCACAAGCTGGCGGCGGAACTTGTCAAAGTCTTTGTCCGACAGGTCCTCCAGCGTGTCTGTTAAAATCTTTTTTATGGTTTTGGCCATTTTTCACCAAGAGATGCCCCAAAGTCGTAGTTATCAAAAGTCCTTTTTTTCCAAGCCAACCCCCAGAGATCACTCCTTTACCTCAACACACAACTGCTCCAGCTGCGAGAGACGGAAGGGGAAGATGATAACAAAAGGTGCCTTCAAATGCTGTCGGAAATCTTGCTATCTTGCTACACTGCGATTGCGATAGGATTTCCGATTAGTGTGGGACTTTTTACTATTACAAATTTAATATTCACTGAAAAAACTATTTGAATCATGATGATGTGAAATGTTTGGG